TTTCAGGATCTGCCACACAGCCTTCTTCTTAACCATCTTGCAGACACAGCCAGATACCAACAGGTCAGTTTGGAGATGTACAGAATGCTCACTGTCACTTCTATTTTTCTGTCTGGTGTGATAATCCATCAGCATTGCTTTTCTGCTTCACAAGATGGCAATGGATGGTGAAGTTATAAAGGCTGGAGTGCCAGACTCCACCACAACAGTCTGAAATTGTCCCTCGCCACCTGGTTCATCTATATGAAATGAAAACTGTCTTCCATACAAGAAGGGCTACACTTTTCGAGGACCCAGACCAGGGCCACACATTCCTTCTCAATGGTGGTGTAGCTTACATTTTTGGGAAGTAATTTCCTGTTCAAGTAAGCCACTGGATGCTGTTCTCCTAAATGTTGTAGCATCTGTGTAAACAAGAAATGTTTTAGTTGGGTGTGGAGCTGCCAATACTAGGACATTAATTAGTGCATTCTTAAGCTGTTGAAATGCCTGCTCACACCAGACCAGAATACCTGTTGGGAAAGGGTTTTTTCAGGTCAAGTTGGTGAGGAGTTTGGCTATTGCACTGTTGTTGACGATGAATTTACAGTAGTACTCAGCTGTCCTTAGGAAGGCCATGACTTGTGTCTTTGGGGGGGTGGAGGTGGTCCATTGGCTACCACCTTAATCTCAGTTGACTCTGGCTAGGTAAATATTGCACCTCTGCTATTCCTATATTGCACTTGGCTGGATTAAGTTTTAAGCCTACATCCCATATCTAATCTCACATGACTACTATGTGTCCTAAGTGCTCTTCACAGTGGTGCTGTAGATCACAATGTTGTCCAGGTATGCACAGGCATAATCTTAGAGGCCATCAAGGAGCTGATCAAGGAGCTGATCAAGGAGCTATCCCTGTGGGTGGATTGTGGCTGTCTCGGCCTCCTAGAAAAGTATTAGAGGTTGGAGAACTAGCGCTGTGAGCTCTAGTTCCCCAACCTTAAAGGTGTCATCAGCATTCTTCATCCTGAAAGGCATGACCCAAAATTGATACAATCCAAATGGGGTTAAGACTTGGGGATGGTGTCCTTGGCCAAGGGAATCTGCCTATAGCCGTTACATAAGTCTGTCGTAGTAAGCAATTTTCCACTGGCAGCAATTTCTATATGTGGCATGTGGTAGGCATCTGATATTGTCTTGCCATTCAAGCTCCAGTACTACACAGATAAGCGGGTGGTTCTCTCCCTCTTTGGTAACAGTACTACAGGAGAAGCTGTCAGAGAACTATATAACCCATAGTAGTAGCATTTATTGTATCTCCATCCTCATCTACTTCCTAAGTTTCCAGGATGCAGTAGGGGGTTGGTGTAGGGGTAAGGAGTTGTTAATGTCTACCCGGTTTTGTACCAGCCTGGTGTACCCTGGTTGGTTTAGTTTGTAACAGCTGCCTAATCTCTTCTTTTCCCCTAATTCCTCCTCAAACTTGACCTGATCTAGGAACCCTGCCTGGCTGCCTTTTTTCAGGAGTTCAGGGAGAGGACATTGTCATAATCAATGGAAGGATTGCCATAATCCTTGGGAGCAAGGGTGCAGATAGCAATTTCCTTTTCTACTTGCTCTAAGTACTTTGTGAGCATTTTTAGGTTAAATACCCTCTTAAAACACTGGGTCACTACCAGGTTGGTGTTACACTTTTTTTTAATCACAGGGTAGGGGCCCTGCCAAACAATCTGCAGTTTATACTCTTGGGTCGGCTTTAACACTAGTACCTTTTGCCAACCTTAAAACTATTTATTTGGGGATGGTATGGTGAGCTCTGAATGGGCTTGATGCCACAGTCTCAAGAATTGGTAAATTACCTCAGCAGTAAATGCTGAAGTGAGGTGGGCCCAGGTCATTCCTGAGTTAAACATTTGCTGGTAACTCCTTCCTTATACTGACCTCAATGTTTCTGGATCCAGCACCCTAATTTAAGTGTACTTTGGCAGTGGGTAGCAGGTATACAGCTCCCCCAACTACCTGGACTGTCATGGAACATCCAGTTTTGTCATTGTTGTTGATGAGGTGCTGCTTGATGAGGGTGAGTGCAACTCCAGTGTCCCTTAGTCTCTTTGACCTTGTTGATCCAGACTGCCTGTGATGATGTTGGCAGTTGTCCTTAGTGGATTGTAGAGGGTCAGCCTCATGTAATGTCCCCCCACATTTCTTTGGTGGGTTGTGGATCAGGACCTACTCAGGAGGGTAGCGGTGCTGAGGGTGGTTCTTCCTAATCAATGGGCCGCTGGTCGAGGGACTAGTGAGGGAGCAGGTTGGGTTTGGTTTCTGTCCTGAGGGCAGTCCCTGTGAATATGCCCATTTTGCCAGCAGGCCTGTCTTGGTGCTGGGCAAGGATCAGCAGGGTCAGGGGAGTTCCGGTACATTGTGGCACTGACTGTCCAGGATTGATGTGGGCTGCATGGTATGGAATCTTTGGTGCTGGTTTTTGTTGTCACCACATATCATGATATTCATTAGCTAACTGTGCAGCTTCTGCCAGGGTGAGTGGACATCAGTTTCATACCCACTCTTTATATTTCTTCAGTGTGCTTATACTTCAGGTGCCACATTGTTGTAAAATTGTTCTCAGACTATTAACTGCACTGCCTCCTCTAGAGTAGTTATTTGGAAGTCTTGATCTAGTTCATGGCTGCATGGTGCATCGTGCAGGCTCATTGGGGATAAGTCTCTGTCTCCACACTCAGGTCCTCAGAGCGCCTATAAAACATCAATGGTGTAATAGCATTTTGGGCCAAAAGCACTTCCTCAACCCAATTATAGTTCCTTAAATCCATATCGAGGATGGCCTGGTAAGCATCTGCAGAATGTCCTGATAGTTTCTCAGCCAGGACTCTACCATCAGGTCGATGCCATGGAGTGTGCATTGTATTTCAAAGTCTTGGAGGTACCCATCAATGTCCCTCTCTTCCACAAAGGGTTTGAAAACATGGTAGAGTATTTTGTTCTACTGTTTCCCTCACCTGCCTCATGCCTTCCAGACAGATCTTGAGTTCCCTGTTCCGCTCTGCTTGTAGGAAGGTGATCACCTCCTCTAATGTGGGCTGGATAGCATCAATCGATGGGTTGGGGCCATAGAAGGCCAGCCGTTGTTTTACCTCTCTGGAACTCAGCTTCTTCCTAACTCGGCCCCCTCCATCAATTCTACAATTAGGATAGCCTTTTATTTGTTATTTGATATCTGTTGTCAAGCTTTCAGCAGCTCCTTCAGTGTGCTTCATTTTAGCCGTAGATAATTAATCTCCCTCTACTGTTCAAAAGCCTTGTGTCTGCTGTTTTCAGCTGTCCTCACTGAGAGATTCTCTTAGGGAAGGGAACTTCCTAACCCTGCCACCAGTTGTAACAGATCCCAGTACTCAAGCTGAGTACCTCCATCTGTAGTCTCTTCAAGCTGCAGAAAGTTGCTCTTTAGTGATTGTACCAGATTGACCAGGCTGAGACTACACTCTGATTTGGCACAGAGTTCCAGTCTGCCCAGCATAGTGTGGGTAATCGAAAACATATTTTTCTGGCTCAGGAAAAGGGGGCTCTTGGTGAGCAATTATTTTAAAATGTACTCTCCTTGGTGTTTAAATTTGGAGGCAGCCCACACAAACATAAGAGTCTTCAGGCTCACAACATCAAGCACTCGCGCACATAAGGAGATCATATAATGTAACCCACAATGTATATAGTTAATGTGTTATTTTGTTTGGTCACATTGCAAACACCAACCAGTTCAGACGCTTACTGAAAACACACAAGCTTTGGTACAGGAATAAACACCGGGCATACCCCAAACAGAGACACAGAGAAACAATCCCCCCAAAGGTGGGGAATGATTTAGATTTAGATTTAGATTTCGCAAACCACACCTAAACTCCTCCTGAATGGCTGGATGAGGGCACCCACGGTTGGCATAGCCGATTCTGGCCAACTCGAGTAGGCAACACATCCCTTGGGAAGGGAACACCCCCCCCACAGAGAGCACGACCAAGACTTGACCAAAAATAGAAAAGCCCAAGTTAGACGCATAAGCCATAGCTAAGTCCAAAATCAAACAGCATGACCAGACGCCTGGGACACTAACTCACTAACACCCATAGACCACTAGCCGAGGGAACAAGTGGGCTGAGACGGCCTCCGCTGAAGCAACCGCATAAATAAGAGATAACCACAAAATCCCTGCCAGACACATTATAATGTGCAAAAGATACCAAATGTACCATATGTCTCATAGGTATTGCAGGAGTTGTCCTGGGCAACTTTATGTTGCTTACTGCAAATGCGCAGGGTGCCACAAATATAAACCTACTGTACAATGTACAAACTAACTAGAAAGTACAATATAATGTATAAACGAATGCATGAACTGTAACCGTGCAAACCAAATGACGTATAACCAATGTGAACTTGTTCTTGAAAACAATAAAAATTGTCAAATTGACAAAAAAAAAATTTGGAGGCAGGAACGGCTTTTAGTTTTACTGGGCAGCTGCTCTGGACCAGGCACCTTGTCCTTCTGGGTGGGTTGTGGCTGTCTCTGTCTTCTAAAAAAGTCTTAGAGGATGGAGAACTAGTGCTCAGTGCTGTGTGGACTTGAGAGAGAGTAAGGAAAAGCCAGGGGGTGATAAGTTCTTTTGTAGATGCTATAATTCAGGAATCCTGCACTAGTTAATCCACACGTCTGGTGCAGTATCCACCATACTTTCCAGAAAACAAACATGTATTTATTACATTACATGTATTAATTACAACAAATATAAAGATATGGATAATTTTATAACATGACAGGAGGCTTCATATTTGCTTAAGTCTATCTTTACTAGAACTCCACAGCAGCAAAAAAACATAGAGAGTAAACAACCAATCAGAAAACAGTAAGGAGACCACATAACTCCCTTCTTAACATTCCATTCCCTCTTTTTTTGCTGCTCCACATCAGTACAGGTCAGAGTACCACTGCCTCCTGCTAATATTAGTTGGTGGCTGTGTGATTTATGTTTTACAGTGTATTTATGTGATTACTTAATTAGATTTTTATTCTAAGCACTTCTAGGCTACAGTTTAGGCCTTTTGCTTTCCTTCTCCCTCTGAGCTTTAGGGAGTTTACTTGCTGTCTGCCTGCCTTCTCATTCTGGGGATCTTCCCCCTTTTTACTGTCCCCTCTGCTTCACCTGTTTTTTCATCTCTCGGATTTTATTCTGCTCGGGGGTTTCTGGAGGTTGGCCTGTTGTTGCCTCCTCCAATCCCCCGAGCCCCGGGACCGCGGAGTATGTCTCCGGCGGTCCCGTGTGTGTTTACTGCTCCGGTCGCGGGGTGCTCACGATCGAGGGTTCTACCCGCCGACCGGAGCTTCACCACGTGGCCGCTGGTCACGGCAGGCTCGTTCCGTGGACCACGTGTGTCCGCCGGGCGGAGAAGGGAGTGCTGAGTGCATTGGCCTCCTCCCCACCCTTAGTGCCTAACTTCACCGGGCGCACGTGTGTGCTGCCGACAAGGAGGTTCCCATGCCTATAGGATTAGTCTGGCGGTCTGGGAACACCCCTTGCTGCATCCTTCTCCTAACCCTACCACTGCTGTGGCCTGTGGGTGTTGGGGATTATTATATATATATGTGTTTGGTTGATTATATTATTTCAAGTGCATTTTTATATGTATACATCTACATTTTATATCTTAGGGGAATTTTAAAAACGTCCCCTCTGTATGCTTGGGTGTCATGCTTTACATCAAAGGGTCTGTCAAGTCCTTTCTTTTACACTCCTACATGACCTGCCCTATTACTGTCCTGCTATTTCTGTGCCCTTATTCTGGCCTGCTGTGTCTGTGCCCCTATGACTGGTATGCTGTGTCTGTGCCTACTGATTGGACTGCCCTGTCAGTGTCCCATTAAAGAGCCGACGCTTGCCGTGCCTAAATCCTTTCGGCCACTGGCCTAGGATATTTCTCTGGGAAGGTTTACACTGGGGTCCACTGTGGCCATGCTGTAGACACCGGGAATTGCTCCCATAATAACTGGGTCATTTCTATCCCCAGGGTCACACTACGGCCCAGATATGGATGCTACGACCCAAGAGACCCTGCAGGCAATGATCAACGAAGCCGTTGCCGCTTCTGTGGAGAAAGCCCTCTCACGCGCTCTACTCTAGTCATCCCAAGATAGGGATGTATCAGACTCAGCAAACGCTGTTTGAGTCCGGTCCTGGAGCACTGGACAGAGGCCAGTCGCACGCATCTAAGCGCTACTGGAAGGATGAAGGCCCTGAGCCAACTACCCGGAAGGGTAAGGCTCCTGCAAAGCGACCCAAGTGGGCGACCGCTGCATCTCCGGCACGCCAGAGATACTTCCCAGAAGAGGAGGAAGAATTCACCCTTCCCGCACCCCTGTCCATCCTAGATGAATGGCGGACGGATCAGTACCCCTCAGAGGACGAAGGCGGGTGGGGAAGAACCGGAGGAATTGGCGTACTGACAGGACGCCGGTGAAACCACCTCAGAAAACATTCACTCCTCCTTTGGGGAGGATGTGTTCTTGGACACAACGGGTGAACCCCTATTCGACTCGCACACCATCCGACACCCCCGATCTCCTGAGCGGTCTCTACCCGAACATCTGGCCCAGTTCATCTATTATTGGGTTTGCAGACCCCTCAATTTGGCAGTTCAGAAGAGGTTGAGGGCGGAGTGCCCCAGACCCACCTTACCAGACGCTATGACGCCCGAATTCGACTGAACGGTCTCCAACTATTTGACCAGGACCTGTCTCGGTCCCAAGAAAGGGGTTGAACGCAGCCTCCGCCTTGCACAAGTGCTTGACATACTGGGGCCGCTAGCCCGGATCCTTACCATGGTGGATGAGGCTGTCTCACAGGGCTCATCCCTGGACCCTGCTGCCATCAGAGATTGGGCATTACGCTCCGTTTGCCTGCTGGGCAACTTCAACGTGGCTTTATGCACGGAGCAAAGAAAGGCGGTCCTCATGCGCATGGACACTAACTTGCGTTGGGATCCAAGGAGCTGGGACCATTGTCCAAAGGACTACTATTCGGGGAGCCCTTCATCAAGGAGCTACAGAGGCATGTTAACCTCTATGCTACTCTAAATAAAGCGCAATCATCAATGAGAAGAGTGTTCCGCTCTCAGTCTTCTCGTGTTTTTGGCAGGGCTGGAAGGCAGCGGGGTCGTGCCTCCAGCCATTTCTGGCCTTCGAGTCACAGAGGATCCCGATCACCATCCTTATTCCCCAGCTACCCCTCTGGGTCCTTCACCTCCTGGAGGTCGGACAGTGGCAGAGGAAACCGGGCACGTGGATGAGGCAGGTTACCCACAGGTGAGACACATGACACCACATGTCTTTCGCAGGCATGCCGGCAGGTTAAGTTTTTGTCTCGACATCTCTTTGGATGCATGTTTCCTCCAGACGGTCCGAGGTTATGTTATAAACTTCCATTCACCACCAGTTCAGGAGACTTTTCCCTGGACTCCGATTTCGTCAAGGGAACTACAGGTGCTGGTGGAAGCCGAAATACAGGCCCTCTTCGACAAAGGGCGTGGGACAAAGGGGGCTTCTTCAGCTCCATTTTTCGAGTCAAGAAGAAGACGTGAGATTTCAGGCCGGTTATAAACCTGAGGAACCTGAACGCCTTCATTTATTATCAACACTTCAAGATGGAGGGCATCCATCTATTAAGAGACCTATTACGTCCAGGGGATTGGTTCACTCGCTTAGACCTAAAGGACGCATACCTGTCCATTCCAGTGGCATCCGATTGCCGTTGATTTCTACGCTTCGTTTGGAAAGGGAAGCCGTGTCAATTCACCTGCCTTCCCTTCGGCCTCAGCTCGGCACCATTGTGTTTCACCAAGCAGTTAAAACCGGTAACGGCATGCCTGCGCTCCAGAGGCATTCGGTGCCTGATATATCTGGACTATTTGCTTCTTTTCTTCGAAGACGCCTCCAGGCTGAAGTCTCATACGGCCTTCACGGTCTCCTTGTTCGAATCCCTGGGGTTTGTGGTCAATCAAGAGAAGTCGGCCCTCACGCCGACACAAGTAGTTCAGTTTTTGGGATTCGAAATAGATGCGATTCAGTGCATCCTACGCCTCCCTCAGACAAAGATCACGGCCATCCAGAAAGAAATTCGGCAGATCCTACGCCAAGA